TTTAGATTATTTTTTAATCTATTCAATTTTGGCCGCTGGCGAGACACTGTTTTAATAGGGTAATGGGTGGGTAGCAGTACAGAAGCTGCAGAGAGGAGTGTTAAACTATGACCCTTCTTCCTGGTCTGAACCCTGGGTTGTCAAAAAACATGAATAAAATATTCTCAAAAACGTAGACATGAAAACACTCAGGAAGAGTTGCTTGGCTTGACTCCAACAGGTATGTTGCACCAGGCGAAGACAGCGCCTTATATCTCTAGCAGCCTGATGAGAAGATTACCGAGAGGTGTGTGGTCTGCAGCCGGCTGCCACTCCCTCCAGCAAAGCTCCTCTGTTCAGGAAAGATCTCATGCGTGCACACAAACTCACACACCAGAATCAAGCATTCTGTTGGGATTAGATGAATCACTGAGGTCTTTCAGAATATGATTGCTTGATTATTTATTCTTTCTATGAAAGGATAATAAATCTTTGTTCATTCTGAATGTAGCGCGGCATGTGCAATCCACGGCAAGTTACAAAAAGTTGGAGGTGCACAACCAGGCGTCGCGATGAAGGGAGAGCGAATTTTGTCACTGTGGGCACGCGCAACCTTGTGCCCTGTTCAATGCGTCAAGTATGAACCAAGCTTGAACTGTCTCTGCTGTGTGCGCATAGACTAAGCGCACCTTTAGGGGAAATGCTGCGGCTCTTTCTCTCTGAAATATCCTAAGATTGCTCATAACAACACAGTGTAAACATACTACCAACAAAAAATTAAAACTAGTTTAAAAGTCTTACATCTCTGCAGCCTACTGGCTTTGACGTTTACTTAAATGAGTGCTGTAAGGCTTAAAATTTGTTCAACACAATTTTGTGAATGTGGGTCGAATATTGATGTTTTAAGATTGCACCTTACAGACCACCAGATGTTCAAGATATGAATAAGTTTGTTGGACTCAAAATAACATAGTGCTGTAATTATGAGCTGCCCCTGAGTGATCAAGAAGCAGTTTTGATGATGGCACTTACATTTAAAGTTAATTTAGATAAGGTTTGTATCTCACAGGATTTTAACAAATACGTATGAAATTAGAGATCTGTGATAAAGGTTACACTAAATCCCAAGTTCTATAGCATTCTTCCCAGCACTTCTGAAAGTGTGTTGAATGAAGATATTATGCATTAAGTAGGGCTTATGGGGAAGATGTGATCGATATGGACAGAAATCAGTGTCTCAGCCACCAGTGCTTTTGAACCTGAGGATGGGAAAAGCATGCTCAATTTATATCATGCAAAACAACTGACAGCCAAAATGTGACAGATGAGATATAGTCTTGTCAATATGTTAGACGTTAGTAGGTTGACTCCTGGAATGTGGCCTCTGGTTTGTGAAGTACAGTCATAATGTACAGTCATATTTGTGAGTACCAGTGAGGATCGTTTGTCAGATTAAAAAGTACTTTTTGAAATCAATAGGCTTTAAGCAGGTATTAAACATACATTTAATCCAGGCCACATTTCTGTATTAAAGATTGTTTTTATTGGATGCAATATTCTAATTGTATTAGCTGTAAGCAGAAAATCATAATTAACTGAAATAAAGGCTTGAAAACATCAGTGTGTAATTCATCTATACAATGTGTTTCACTTAATGAATCGGTTACAAAAATAAATGAACTAATAAATGAAACTAATGAACTAATAATATTCTATATATTGAATATTACTGTATACTTCTTTTATTTTCATATTTGATGCACAATGTTCTTACTGTTGTTTTAGTGCACATGTTCATTATTTAGTCTCACTATTTAGGGAACAGAATCACACTGTAGAAACATCCTGTCAGGGTTACTCTTAGTCAACTAACTGACTCTAATCTTCATACAAATTGAAGCATTGTCAGAGCTTTACTATATACGCCACAAACATTTCAAAGACATTTTTTAGAGAAAATTCCCTCTATTTTCCAAATAAGGACATCATGAAGTCATGGAGGTCGCATCCCAAAAGCCCAGTCAGGACCTCTTGAGTCCAGAGATGTCTTTTGATATTAAAGAAGGTGGATTCTAATAACAATTTTAGGGAAAACTAGAAACATGTCCTGGGAATCATTTGTGATGGCGAGATCACAGATTTGAGAGGTAGGGCAGACTATCTATATTAAGATGGATTAATTCAATTTTTTCCAACACGGGTTTGAGAGGTACATGTATATGCTCAATTGAACTGTTTTAAACTGATTAATGAACAGGCAGATTTTTGACCTAACAGTGTAAGTTTACCCTCCACATCAAAGTGAAACAGTGCCTTTTGGTTTATTCTTTCACACTCAAGCCTGGACCTGTACAAAACTAAGGTTATGGTATGTGTGGGGGTGTAGCTCAGTGGTAGAGCATTTTACTGCAGATTAAGAGGTCTCTAGTTCAACTGCTAGTGACCCTGATTCCTTTTAAGAATATTGTTGTTCTGGAGAGAACCATCTCCTGACAAGGTATGACAGGATCTCTCTGTTCCCGATGCCTTGCTTAAATTCAAGAATGCACTAAGGTAAGGTCAGTAAAATTCCAATTCTGTGACAATATGTATTAATTAATCATTAATCTGTGAACACAACAGATAAAGTCAAGTACTATATCATTTCTTACTTCAAAACAAAAATCTGAAATGTAGATACAAAGGTTGTTGAGCTTAAAGTACTGATCTTCATATCCAGGAATCATAATAATAGCATATACTTACTGCACTAGATAAAGTCACAAGCTGCTAACAGGAGACACAACCAAATGCCAAATGTTTATGAGCAGGCCACAAGGCGGCAGGTTTTGTACACCAAGGCAGAATTTATCAACTGGTTAAAGACAAAATGTTCCATCAATTTTAGTAAAACAGTGGTCAACAAGCTTTATGTCACTTTGGTTAGCTAAAAGTAGTATCTGTAGCAGCACAAAATGAAAACTGAGAAAATGTATTTACTTCAACCAGTATGGCCTTAAATCAATGCAAAATTAAAGTCAATAAAGATTTTAAATAACTTCTCACTTTGTGAAAATAAAATAAAATAAAATAAATACAATGTTTATTACTCACCAGTCTTCAGCGTGACAGTGTTTAAAGTCTAAGTAAAGTCATATTGTTTATCAAAGAGCCAAATATAAAACTCCACGATTGGGCTGTCTAAGCATTTCATTTTATTGAAATCCAAAACACTTGTCATAGGTGTTTATCCTCTTAGAAAGTTCGCTCTCATTCTGATTTAGCTGGAGGACCTAATTTAACAAATAGGCTCTGTGTAAATGTCTGTAGAATAGGTTTTCATCACCTCATCATGTTGGCAAACGGTGCATACAGATGTTTGGAAGCACCAGTCTGCCTTTTTAGCTTTTTTTATTTGCATTTTTGCTCCCCATATATCATGTGATCTAAGTCAAAGTATTTTAGTTTGAACATAATGTTAAATGCTTCAGCTAGTTGACCCATTGTAAGCAGTGAGAATGCCATATTAATTAGAAATACACCAATCTACAGATCATATGAAGCTGGCATACTTATTAATTTTCTTCAACACTGTACTCAAGGAAGCTCCTTATGAAGCAGCAGTTTTTATTGCAATTAAAACCTCCCCTCCACTTTTGAGGATGGTTAAAGAGAAAACGATAAATGACATTGGAGATATACAGTAAATAATGTATTTTTCATCTTGTAACGTCCCCTGGCTTGGTCTAGGGGATATAAGGGACCAGCATAAGTTTATAATTTTAGACAGTGAAATGAGGAGTCAAAAGGCCAGTTAAAGAGGATTATTTTCTGCAAATTTAAGTTATTTTCTGTTCAGACTGTCAGGATCTAGAGTCATCTGCTGCCTGCTATTAACACTGTTCCAACACTAGGTGCCGCCAGCAGGAGATTGCCTGAGACTACAGGTGTGGCTCATTGGTTCATCAGCTGGGAAGCATAAAGAGGATGGATTGCCAGCACTTCATTGCCTGAGTGTTTTGCCCTCCGTGGTAATCTTCTGGCCAGCTCTGAAAACCTTTTTTCTTGCAAGTTGTTGTGAAAAAAAGATTGAAAGACTTTTCTCTGAAACATTAACTTCCTCCTGTTACCCGTTCCAGGTGTGATCTCTGGCTGACCTGATCCAGACCTCTGTTTGTTGTGCGGACTCCTTCCTGGACTAGGACTGAACCTGGCAGACTGTGCTCCTCTCCTGACTCTGTGCCTCTCCCTGGCTGGTTCCATGCTCCCCCCCCCACCAGTAAGAAACGTTAACCTTTAGGCCACATTCTGAGGTTCAGTCTCTAACCTTTTCCCCTATTGTTTCACACAGTGACGGGGATTAGGCTCACCGCTTTCCATTAGTGCCTGACCGTGTTTCCAATAAACTTCACTAAACTGATCTTGTTTTCTGAGTGTCTCTGCATGTGGGTTAAGTCGGCAGTAAAAATCATGACAGAACACTCAGGTCAGCCTAACCCTACAGAGAACTTTAGCCGAACATAGTCAGCAGATCCATACGCACGATTCCACCCTCCAGACGCTCCTAGATCAGCAGCAGCAGACTAACCAGCAGCTAGAGCATCTGGCATCTCTGTTCCAACGTGCCTGTAGTCCCAAGTCCGCCGCACCCGTAGAGGGCGCAGCCGAGCATCTGGCACCCCAACAACAACTACATTCCCGTGACGTCACCTCCCCTCATCCCAAGAAGTTCTCCGGAGAGGTGGGCGGTTGTCGTGGGTTTTTACTCCAGTGCACACTAGTGTTCAACCGGTCTCCCCGATCGTTTCCTCATGATGAGGGTAAGATCTCATACATCTTGGGTTTGTTGACCGGGAGGGCACTCCGGTGGGCGGAGGCACGGTTCTCCGACTGCAGTAATTTTGGTGTCTCTTATTAAGATTGCATTCTAGAATTCAAACAAACGTTTGATGTAGCCTCTGATCTGTCCTGTACTGCCCGCAGACTGTGGGCGCTAAAACAGCGGAATCGCCCACTGGCCAATTTTTCTATCGACTTCCGTACATTGGCCGCGTCCTCAGGCAGGAACGCAAGCGCGTTAAAGGCGGCGTGTTAGGACGTGTTAGTTCTTGTAGATGAGCCCGATGGGCTGGATAAATACATAGATTTGGCTGTCCGCATTGATACCCGCCTATGGGAGAGGAGGAGGGATCACTCCGAGAGAGCGGTGGGGCGCCCTCAGCCATTTTCCTCATCCCCGTTGCCAGTTTCACAGAACCCTCTGGTCGGCCACCCCGAGACCGAGCCCATGCAGGTGGGGAGAGCCAGGCTCTTGCCTGGAGAGCAACGGCGGCGCCGGGAGGCTAACCAGTGTTTTTATTGTGGTGCCCCCGACCATTTTATTTCTGTGTGTCCCGTCCGGCCAAAAGGGAGGGTCCGCCGGCTGTGAAGGGGCAACCGACGGACCCACCCTCCAGTTATAAGACCCCTTGATTCACGTTACCGGCCACTTTGTTTTTGAACTGTCACGCTGAAGTTTTGTCCACCCTAGTCGATTCTGGGTGTGATTTAAATTTGATTGACCAAGATCTTGTTACTAGGAAACAAATAGCTACAGAAATGTTGTCCCAGCCCCGCCGGGTTTCGGCATTGGATGGGTTATCTTTACATGAGATCACCCATCGAACGCGGCCGCTAGAACTTATTTTGTCTGGTAATCACCGTGAGCAGGTGTCTTTTTATGCATTTCCCATTGCTCAGAGTGCATTAGTGCTCGGTTTCCCCTGGCTTCATCGCCATAACCCCCATGTAAATTGGGTGGATTTATGCATAGAGGCTTGGTCTGAGGGATGCCTCAGCTCTTGTTTACAGTCTGCCATCTGCCCTAGTACCCCTGTGGAGGAGGGTAAGGAGGAGGAGCCCCCAGATTTGACTAGGGTTCCCTCCGAGTACCACGACCTCAAACAGGTATTTAGTAAGTCTCAGGCTCTGTCTCTGCCGGCCCATCAACCTTACAACTGCGCCATTAACCTCCTCCCAGGCGCTCCGTTGCCCTCCAGCCGGCTCTATAGGATCTCTGGGCCGGAGAGACGGGTAATGGAGAAGTATATTGCTGAGTCTTTGGCTGCTGGGATTATCCGCCCTTCCTCATCTCCCCTGGGGGCAGGCTTCTTTTTTGTGGGCAAGAAGGATGGTAGCTTACGTCCCTACATTGATTACAGAGGTTTGAACGCTATTACAGTAAAGAATAAATAGCCCCTCCCGTTGTTAGCTTCTTCTTTTGAACCCATACACGGCGCCACTATATTCACTAAACTGGACCTCAGAAATGCCTACCACTTAGTCCGAATCCGCCAGGGAGACGAGTGGAAGACGGCGTTCAAAAATCCCCTGGGGCATTTTGAGTATTTGGTCATGCCCTTCAGCTTAATCAATGCCCCAGCAGTGTTCCAGGCACTCGTCAATGACGTTTTGAGAGACTTTTTGAACATTTTTGTGTTTGTATACCTGGACGACATTTTAATGTTTTCTAGAAGCCTCGAGGAACACCGCCGCCACGTTCGGCTGGTCGTACAGCGCCTCCTCGAAAACAGACTGTTTGTCAAAGTTGAAAAGTGTGACTTTCATCAGTCGACCGTCAGTTTCCTGGGGGTTGTTTTGGAGGAGGGACAGGTTCGCGCTGACCCAGGGAAGGTTCGAGCAGTGGTGGACTGGCCACTACCTGGCTCCCGGAAGAAGCTGCAGCAGTTCCTGGGGTTCGCCAACTTCTACCGGAGGTTCATACGGAATTACAGCCAAGTGGCAGCCCCCTTGACTGCGCTGACCTCCACCAAGATGACCTTCAGCTGGGGCACGGAGGCCAAGACCGCCTTCACCCTGTTAAAGAGGCTGTTCTCCCAAGCACCTGTCTTGATCCATCCAGACTCAGCTAAGCAGTTCACGTTGGAGGTTGACGCCTCGGACACCGGGGTGGGAGCGGTCCTCTCTCAGCTTTCGGACCAGGATGGGAGGTTTCACCCCTGTGCCTTCTTCTCTCATCGACTGACCCCTGCCGAACAGAACTACCAGGTGGGAGACAGGGAGCTGCTAGCCATCAAACTGGCCCTGGAGGAGTGGAGGCATTGGTTGGAGGGCGCCGAACACCCTGTGCTGGTTTGGACAGACCACAAGAACTTGTCTTACATCCAGTCAGCTAAGCGTCTTAATGCTCGCCAATCACGTTGGTCACTTTTTTTTTCCCGCTTTAATCTGTCTATTTCTTTTAGACCAGGATCCAAGAACCTCAAGCCTGACGCTCTGTCCCATCAGTTCGGGCCTGGGGACTCAGAAAGACAGGCCGAGCCCATTCTGCTGCCAAGCTGTACTGTGGGCTCTTTAACCTGGGAGGTAGAGAACCTGGTGCGGCGAGCCCTCCCTGATAATCCATGGCCGGGCACTGGACCCCCTGGACGGACTTACGTTCCAGCCTCTGTACGGTCCAGATTGATCTGC